AAGGTTAATGTTTAAACTGGTCATTTGACTTTCTGAGGCAGAAACTGTGTGTCATCTAACGATGCTGCTTTTCATTCTGTGCAAACAGCTCGTCACAGTCCGTGTTGACTGATATTAAGTACACAGCTGAAGCTCCTTTCTACTGTGCTTTATTTGCAGGTCTTGATTGCTTCGTGTTTGCACTGCTTACTGCTTACTGTGATGGATGCCTGCTCTATCAGCAGGATGCATGCAGCAGTTTCCAGCATCAATTAGTCTACAGTGAGATGTCTCACACAACCAAGCACTGTTGCTCCAGGAACAATCATTGTTTAACCTCTTGCAGCAGCGGAGACCCAAAGGCTTCTAGAAACAGATTCAGTGTGGTTTTCAGGCAATCATTCAAGTTTTACACTTGAATTATCAAACAGAAGAACCACAAAGCAAAGTGTTTACTCAAGATGCAGTTCGGCTCAGTAAACCAAAACTGAATGGCAGATGGTTGATCCCAGAAAAGCCGTTTACACTAGTGGATTCTGAAGTCTGCCTGTAGGAGTCCAGAACAACAGCTTTTCTGATGGTCTTCCTCTGCTTATCTTGGTTGGAGCAGCCTTAAGTTCAGGCCGTTCTCTCCCCAGCTCCCACCCGCTCCTCCTGTTTATCCAGACCAGTTCAGAGATTTAATCCCTATGGTGCAGGGGCACCAACCTTTGTGAAGGTGAGCGCTACTGAGCCATATGATGAGCTACCAGCTAAATAACCAAAGGGTTATTTTCACAAATCTAGGCACTTGAACTACAATAGAACATAGTTTATATTTATAATAAACACATTTTTATGTCTTTTAAAAACATTGTCATTTCTATCAAAATTACCGTATTTTCCGGACTATAAGCCGCTACTTTTTCCCCACGCTTTGAACCACGCGGCTTATAATGAGGTGCGGCTTTACTGAAGATTTTCCTTCACCTGCCAGGGGGCGCTTTAGCAGAAAGTGAAACAGGTGGAAGACAAAAGTGGAAATGGAAGAAAGTGCTCATTTTAATTAAGCACATGCAAGCAGCCGGCACGACGAAGATTTTTTTTCAAAGCCATACCGCCTCATCATGGAAACTACACGTATGAGTTCATATGTTGCCGCATTTAAGTTGAAGGCCATCGATCTGGCAGTAAAGGAGGGAAACAGTGCTGCCGCACGCAAGCTTGGCACAAATGAATCTGTGGTTCGGCGCTGGAGACGGCAGCGGGAATAACTCATTCAAGCCAGCTTCACCCGGGGATGATGACAGCAACACGGACAGCGACACTGACATCGCCACAGAAAAGGTATGTGACGAAGCTCTTCTGAGGCTGTTCAGCTCCGACACTGAAGAAGAGGACTTTAATGGCTTTAGTGCGCAAGAGGAAGATGAGAGCGAATGACTTCTTCTGGTGGGCAAGTGTGTTTTATTTACTAACCAGGCATGTTTTGTGTGCAGTTTTTATTTTCTAGTCATCCAGGGCTTATTAATGCTGTGTCAGCGCTGCTCTTTTCTTCTAAACATGCAAAGTACCGGTAATAAGGTGTCAGTTCTGTTTTTATTTTATAACCATCCAGAAATATGAATGCTATCAGTGCTGTTTTCTTTTCTAAACTTGCAGGCACGTTCACTCGTGTTTACAATTCGTTTTCTTGAATTAAAACAACAACGAAAAACCTCCGTGTCACGTCTTTCTGTCTGATCATTTTATGTTATGGCCATACATGCGCTGTGCGCCGGAGACCTGCATGTGGCTGCTGCGCCGCGGCTTGTATTTGAGTGCGGCGTGTGTGTAGAAAACCTTTTTTTTTGTTAGTGCGGCTTATATTGAGGTGTGCTCTATAGTCCAGAAATTATGGTATATCAATACAGAGCAGAAAACATGTCATTTTAGAGTTTGCTGAGAGGTAAGGTGTGCTACTTTGAGAACAGGCCTGAGGGAACCTGATGGGCTTTCTGGAGGCACCTTGATGCTCGTGGGCTCCCGGTGACCTCTACTCTGGTGCGTGTTGAGTCAACCTCAGAGTCCCCTCCTGATGCCTGAACACCTTCAACAGGAGATGTCCGGGAGGCCTCCTGACCACATTTCTGAACCGCCTCACCTGGTTCCTCTCCATGCGGAGGAGCAGCGATTCTACTTCGCTCTTAAAGTGACTGTGTGTATTTTTCCTGGCAACAGGGGGCAGTACACACCTAAATCACTACAAGCAAGCATTATTTTTGTGTCAATGTAAGGCCTTACCATTGGGTGGCCATTAGGGTCAAAAATCACTGGGAGCACAATTTTTGAACGAGTATTTTGTCAGCTTGTTCAACCCCCAGCAAAAAGAGGTAAATGTGTAAAACAACAATGTTTATGACTGGCAAGCGTTTCGTAACTGCTTGCTGTAAATCAGTAAATGCATTTTGCCCTCACAGGCTCACGTAGAAAAAACATTTCTAATATGGCGTCCCCCAGAGACTTAGACCCGTGCTCATTTATTTTAGACCAGATTTTTGTGGTTGTATGTTTTGAAGCCGCCAATATTTTTCAACAACTGGGCATCATTTAATTCTTTTTCAACAACATTTCAATGGATATTTCCATAGATTAATGATAAAAACGTCACATTGTCTCTTCAAGGCCTAACCCGACCACCCTGTGGAGGAAACTCATTTTGTACTCATTAGGTTATTAGCCAAAGCTCTTGACCAAAGGTGAGGACTGAAACGTAGACCGACTGGTAAATCAAGAGCTTTGTCTTCCTGATTAGCTCCCCCTCCATCACAAGACAGGTCAAGTGCCCACATCTTTATCTTCACTCATTATCGGGACCCTGAGATTCCTTAGCTCCTTCACCATGAGCTGGAGTTGGAAATCCACCCATTTCCAGTCAAAAACCTTGTCCCTGGATTTGGAAGTGTTGATCCTCCTCTCAGCTCAGTTAGAGGACATCATCACTCCACAGAGAGCCGAGATGAGATCCTCCTCCCACCAAATGTGCATAATGGTGATTGTCAGTTTTTAAAAAAACACAAACTAACATTTCTGCATAAACATGGATCCTAAATGATTAGAACACATCTTTTTTCTTATGTCTCACATGTGAGACATAAAGCTCAGATCTGGGTCTGAAATTACACCCCAGCATTGTCACAGTGGCCTGTGTTAGTTATATAAGAAATTACATTAATCAAGAATTATTGAGTCTCTCTGATGGTTTAGTTAAACTGGAAAAAAAGTCACGTGCAAAAGGTAGCACCATAAACACACCAGACCGTGAGCATGGGAATGAAAAACAAACACGGGGCTTATTTATTATCAACATTTACATTTCATCACCACAAAGACACAGAAACAGCATGAGAATCACAGACTTTGCATAAGCGTGTACAGTAGACCCCCGATTGCTTTAGTTTTACATAGATGGTCACCATATCAACTTGTGGGGACCGCTGATCCAACTGGAGTGTGAAACTTGACCAAGTCAAACCCCAAAACAGCAGACTTAGGCCCTGTCAACACGTAGCCGAGGATCTGCCAAAACGTAGATATTTTTCTACGTTTTGGCCTGTCATCCACACGAAAACGGAGTTTTTTCACACGAAAACGGATCTTTTAAAAAACTCCGGCCAAAGTGAAGATCTGCGTTTTCTCCGTTTTGGGAGTCTGCGTGTGGACGGACAAAACCGGAGTTTTAAGGTCCGCAACGTCACTTTCCGCGACAAAAAATGCTGACATCACGTGTGCGACCTGTGTTTACACTAGCCGGCATCATGGAAGCCCTCAGAGCTGCGCTCTGTCACTACCCGATCCATCAATTGTCCAAGCGCTGTTTGCTTGTTTGTTTTTGCAAGCGGAATTACTGCTCCTTGCGGAAGACCACAGACGAAGGACGAGGTTAAGAACGGGGGAAGTACTGCCGCCTACAGGTCTGGCATGTCCTTAACAACGTATTTATCCGGGTACGTGTGGACAGAGTTTGTTTTTAAAACGCGGTGGTGTGGATGCAAGTTTTTGGAGGGGCGGATATTCGTTTTTTAAAAACCCCGGCTTCGTGTGGACTAGGCCTTAGTGTCAGCAGAGCCTTAAGGAAATCAGATGGAAACTTTAGGCAAACGAGGGCTAAAAAAGAAGCAGGCTATTTACTTCCAGTTAAACCACCTGAGACAAATCTGTTATTATAAACTCGTGTGTGTGATGAAACAATCTGCCACAGCTGGAAGTTCTGACCTAATTTAAAAGGTACGCTCAGCATTATTTTTTACGTTTCCCACAACTTTAACTGAGTATTTAAAACATGAAAGGTATCTGCAGGGCCTTCAACTGAACTCTTGGTTATTTACCTCTGACAGGTCATTTCATCTGCAGCTGAAACGAGAACAAGCACATAAACACCATATACAGCCAGATAATGTGACACAGATACACTGGTCACCCACACACTCTCTAATCTACAGTTATACCTGTTTAAGATGACTAAACATGAGAATAAATACAGAATAAAATTACAAAAAAAAAAACCCTCCACTTCCTAATTCGTTCGCAGGCCTGAATTTGAAAGAACTGGGACATGATCTCTTCCGGTCTCATCAGCACTGTTAAATCAGCAGTGAACATTCTGATTCGGTTAAAGAAGAGAAATGCTGTGTGAGCCTGGAGGAAGTGTGACTGCAACTGAATCATCAATCAGACTAATACGTTGTAAGCCAAAACGTCTCTGAGAAGATAGAGAACTTCCCTTTTCTCTTGATGTATTCATCGGGCTGCATGAGACACAAAAGTGACACTGAGTTGTGATTTTGTGAATTTAGATGTCTGATGGAGATTTCTGTTTGCACCAATCTGTCACAAACCACAAGCTGCAGTTTTTTATTTGACTGTGGAAAATGTCAAGTTTTTACCAAATAAATAATTTCAGATAGAAAAAAAATCAGGTTTCAGTTTTTATCACGACACTTTCTGGGACTTTTTACTAGTTTTATGTTTTTTGTGAAAAAATGAATAAAAAACCGAGAAGATTAAATGCATCACAAATCATTTTATTAGCTTTAATTAATAAACAAGCAGTGATTTGTGTGTTTACTTTGAGTAGTAACATGATAACAGCTCTGTCCACTTTTTGCTCAGATATGCTTTCTCTCTGATTTCAGACTTTTGAAGGTTTAAAGCCTTAAATTATGTTGTTTCACAAATCAAATTAATTTTCCCCCTCAAACACACATAAAAAGCATGAAACCAGCTATAACATGTAATTTAGTTCATTAAAAGATCTGATTTAATCACAAAACAATTACCTCATCCTCCAGTTGCTTTTGAACCTACTGAAACCTGAGTTAATGTTTGGTTTCCAGCTTTCATTTCTCTTTGCTAACACAAACTAATAAGAACTTCAATAAATATGTTTTTTTGGACATTCCATATTTTAAAAATACAAAAATAAAAATTAACAATAAAAAACATTTAAATGTTTAAAAATGAAATGAAAAAGTTCCTTTAATGAGGACAGAAGGTGGATGAGTGCATGTCTCCATCTGAGGACACAGAGAGTCAGGACCTTCATGAATGTTACGAACGCTTCTGAAAATGAGAATTCCTTTGATTTTAATTGCTTAACTGTATATTTTAAGTGAACCCTGTGCAGAGAACAAACAGAACAAGAGAATAAATGATCAGGATTTTCCTTCTAAAGACTATTCCGTTTCTGGTGCATTTAACAATGCATCAGATTGTTGATGAACAAAAACACAAAACACTGTAATTTCATTTTCATAGACTCCAGTTAATAAAATGTTGCAATTTATTTGAGCAGATGGTGCTTAATTTTATTGAATAAAAACATAAAACTAAGGTGTAATCGTTAGTTTTTCAAAAATCTGATGAAATAAACTTTATTATAGTGAAAACCAAAAAACAATAAACTAACAAAAAGGTAGACAGGACTTTGGTTCTGCAATGGTATGAATGCTTAATGGTTGGAAATGAATAAACATAATTAAATATCAATCATGACATCACTGTAAATAGTATTAAATACAGACATCCATAAAATTCATCCAAATATGGCATATTTACAATCAAACAGTCCTTTCTCTTGTGGATGCACTCGTGAGGATACACAAAGATCACAACAACCATAATTAAACTTGACTGGGTTTAATGCAAGCAAACGCCGCTGGTTTTGTAGTTTCAGCTGCGGGATCCTGGACTCAGACTGGGTCATCCAGTGGTGCGTGGTTGGAGTGGATACTGTGTCCAAACATTCAGTTAGAGGTTCTGAATGAAAGCTCTGGCTCCATCCACACTGACACGCTGGGTGTGTGTGTGTGTGTCGCCGGCAGAGAGCTGAAAATTCGGTGCAAAAAGCATCTGTAGCAAAATGTCTTTGTTCTGAAGTGAAGCTTCATCCCAGAGCTACCAGCAGCACATGAACTGTGTATCTAACCTCCATCACTGGGAGGACTGGCTCCATGGTTCCTCTCAGAGCTGGCTTAGGGAGCCACTAACAGACAGACAGGCAGCAAGTGCACATAAGTAGAGCTGAAGTTATTCTGAGCAGGTGTAGAACTGTGGCCTCACTGGGATGTAGTTATCGAAGCTCGCCCCTGAAAAAAAAGGAGATTTATGAACAGAAAAAAGCCATTTTCTGCTTATTCTGAGAAACAAAAACTGAAAAAGGTTTGAAATGTGGTCCAACGTGTTGGACACACAAGGACCTGAGAGAGAGAAGAAGCTTAAAAAAAACAGACAAAGAAGTGATTCATATAAACTAGAAGTTGCCATGGATACGACTGGCGCTGAGGAGCCGACTCGCTCAGCAGGAGAGAATGGAAAAGCATCTGGAAGCAGGAAAGAGATAACAAACAATGTGTGTGCCTGTTTGACCTACATTTATCTGTGTGTGTTCCCAGCCTCGGTGTGTGTGGATGGGGTGCTGTTCCCGCTGTGGGCTGTAGATCCAGTGGAAGCTCTGGGAATGTGGATGTCAAAGGTCTGATTCCGCTGCTGCAGGAAGTCACAACATGAATCATTCCCAAAATAATTTTTATTATTCAGGTTCAATTCAATTCAAGTTTATTTATATAGCGCCAAATCACGACAAGAGTCGTCTCAAGGCACTTCACATAATAAACATTCCAATACAGGTCAGTTCATTAAGCCAATCAGAAAAAAGTTTCCTATATAAGGAACCCAGCAAATTACATCGAGTCACTGTGACTAGTGACTAATGTCAGGGACATTACAGCAATCCTCATACTAAGCAAGCATGCAGCGACAGTGGAGAGGAAAACTCCCTTTTAACAGGAAGAAACCTCCAGAGGATCCTGGCTCAGTATAAGCAGCCATCCTCCACGACTCACTGGGGATCGAGAAGACAGAGCACGCACGCACGCACGCACGCACGCACGCACACACCAAGTAATGTTTCTATGGTTACATTGTGATTTCTTAGTAAATATTCTATTTGGTGAGAGATAAACTTTATTGTATTTATCCTATTGAATCTATAATTAAACGGGTAAACTAGTAGTAGCACATTCAACGTCAAGGAAAGTAAAGTGTTTTTATCAGGAGACGGAGAATGTTTAAATGGTTAGCAACAGTGTTCAAGACGATGGCCCCCTCCATGAGGCCACCACAGCTCAGCAGAACATAGTTGTAGCTTCTTCTGGGGAGAAAAACCCTTAGAGAAAAAATAAAGTTAACATCTGAAATTGCAGGTAGTAGAGTGTGGAAAGTGGTCAGTGTGTCCTCCAGGATTCTAAGCCTGTAGTTCAAATCCCAAACATTTGGTTTATCTTTTTTGTTTGAGTGTTTTTGAGATATTAAATCCTTTATTGTTAGTGTTAAAATCTGTCTCCCATAAGAATAAACCAAGGTGGTTATTCATCACAGATCTGTCCCTGCTGCTAGCTTGTTGCGGTAGATTCTTGTTTAATGTGCAGCAATTAGGTGAGTTTGATCTGGAAACTTTTCATGAACACACCACTGTCACGTAGCAATAAAAGAATGACCATAAACCCACCATCACTAAGCATTTATTCATGCAACCAGTATTAGATCTTCCACATGGTTTTTACCTGTAGAATAATTATTTTCAAGATAATCAGAAAAGTAAAAACTTACATTCAGTATTTTTTGATGATGATGATGAAGAATCAGTATCTGCAGCTCAAAGTTGCACAAGAATCCAGCATTGGCCTTTATATCCAGAAACAGTGTTTCTTTTATTTTAATGTAATTTTTATGGTGGTGCAGAACAACACACTGAACTCTATCAACTTCTGCAGTGGAAACGATATTAAAACAATGTAGTTACTGTGTTCCTGTTCTTCTGTCCTCCACAGAACTCAGGATGATCCGATAGTATTTTTCAACTGAAGCCTGTCCACTGCTGGACCACCAGAGGTCCTAACTGGTGGCACTGAGACCACTGTTATTTAAAAGTGGCTCTCACACAGATTTTGAATGTGGGGTTTTCATCAGCTGTAAGCCATAATCATCACAATTTTAACAAATAAAGGCTTGAAATATCTGGCTAGAAAACCCTCACGCATATGGGGACAAAATGCTAACTACCTGCACAAAGGCCAAGTAGGCGGGATTCAAAACGGGAACCTTCTTGCTGCAAAGCTGAATTGCCATCAACTGTGCCATCATGCAGCCTTACTTTCCATGCATCTTTGCTTGAAGCAAATGGAATGGGATGTTCCCACCACCACCATTTTGACAGTGTCACGTGTCTCATCATGCCCAGATTATCCAAAAATGGGAAAACAGGTGGAGCTGAGGGTGGGGCGGTTGGAACAGGGTTAGAACCGGTTGTAACAATGGAATCAATGTAGCTACTAGCCAACTTAGCTAACCCAAGGAGCTACGAAGGGGCTCTGGGGTAACCCACCTGCACGGTCGACTGGCTTCCAGGCAAGGCTGTAGCAGTGTTGCCAACTGTTTTTGACTGAAAGTAGCTGAAGTTCCCCCCAAAAGTCGATATTTTTCACCAGATGACGTCACATGCTAATTTGCATACGACACAATGACGTCATCTGATTTGCGTCATGACGTTACCACGTTTGCGTCATGACGATACCGGTCTTGTAGAGTAAATCAAATAAGACCCATGTGATTTTATTAAATAAATTATTTAATTTATTTTTTAACATTTTATTAAAATAAAAACCCCATAGAATACAAAACAGCAGCCTTTAAAACATTAAGAAAAAATGGCCAAAAAAATTGGAAGGAATATTTTTATTTTGTCTGAAGAGAATGGAACTCTTAAACACAAAAATATTAATTTGATAGGAATGTATGTATGATTGAATTAAATTCTAATTGTAAAATTCAATTCTTCTGTTGTGATTCAGTGCTATTTATTGACCTAATAGATAATATATATATATATATTTTATTTTGTTTGGTTTTGTTGCTTTTAGTACTTTTGTGTAAAAAGAAGCAGGCCGTATTTAGTATACAGAAAAGTTACATGCAAACTGCCAATGACCTGAGGTGTTTGTCTTACAGTATTATTCTGTTTTTTGTAAGTTTTAAATGTGCTACGTTATTGAAGTCATCATAAGAGTTCCAATCTTCCTTGAAAGCACCACAGGTGGTGCGAGAAGCCAGCAGCCGTGTGCGAGTGCGACACTGCCTACACGCACATGCGCAGATCATTTTCTTTCTGATCCTCTGGAAGGAAGGATGGTCCTGTCGCTTCAGATGCAACTCTAATCTGCAGTTAAAGTCGGCAACAAAGTTGTAGCCAAAGTAGCTGAGGGGGGTCAGAAATGTCGCCAGATTTGTCGCTAGGTGCTTTTTTGGGAAAAAAAAGTCATTAAGGGGGTCTGAAAAGTCATTAGAAATGGCGACAAAGTTGCTAAGTTGGCAACACTGGGCTGTAGTCATGCTGGTCACTTGTGGAGATCTAACATGGACTAGGACTGTTAAATTACAAGCAGAACCTCAGCTCATACTCCATGGTCGGAGATCAGTGGGACATGAGCTATGTGCTAACCCAAAGCTAACAGAGTATTTCCGGGCGTTTTTAACAAGAAAAATGTGGTAGAGCAACTCCAAAGTGAAGGCACCTCCGGCCTGCTTAGTAACGAAATCATAACCCTTGAGATGGATGCCCTGTGTTGTTACTGCCTTCTGTCATTTTGTGCATAACATGTATGTGTAGCTGAAAAATTTGTGACTGTAACTTTTGCTGCCTCCTGGCCAGGATTCCCTTGAAAATTTGGTTTTTAATCTCAATGGGAACTCTGGGAACTCCTTCAAGGCTGTTGGAAAACCATTTCAGGTGACTACCTCTTGAAGCTCATCAAGAGAATGCCAAGAGTGTGCAAAGCAGTAATCAGAGCAAATGGTGGCTATTTTGAAGAAAATAGAATATAAAACATGTCTTCAGTTAATAAGTTATTTCACCTTTTCTGGTTAAGTACATAAATCCACACGTGTTCATTCATAGTTTTGATGCCTTCAGTGAGAATCTCCCAATGTAAATGATCATGAAAATAAAGACAACACATTGAATGAGAAGGTGTGTCCAAACTTTTGGCTTCTACTGTATATGAAAAATGTTTATTTGGTTTTTCACAACTCACTCAAACTTGATTTTTCATCCAATACGTTTTAACCAGAAACAGTTTTATTTAAATTAACATTCTAATCACTGAGTTACTATTTTACACTAGTTGTTAAGCTGGGAGCACAATCAGCAGGGCTACAAATGCATCTACAGCTACATATTTTCCTCTAAGCCATTAAAAACTTGTTTTAAATGATTTTGGATCAGCTCATGCTCCATCTGACAGCAGGCAGAGAGAACAGACTGAAGATTAAATCCTGGAAACAGTAATGCCTCATGCTTAGTAGATCTGAAGGTAAGCAGGAGCAAACCTCTGAACCTCTGACATTTAAGTCTATGCTAGTATGCAGAGAACGCTCTCAAATTATAAACTAGCTAGCTCCCACCGCTAGCTCTGAAGTCACGTGGCTCTGATGCTCATTAATTATTCAGAATTTTAAGCATTAAATTCCACTTAAACAGAAGGGTTACAAAAACATTCACACCCCTCAGAGCTGTCGAGAATGTAAACTAGAGCTACTGAAATGGTTTTTGAGCCAGGCTTTAAACATGTTTATTTCTGCTGTGAAATTAGCTTTTTAACATGGGAGACTATGAGAATTTGCTCACTTCTGGTGCCAGCCCCTAGTGGATGAGTGTGGAACTGCAAATTTAGCCACTTCCGTGTTGGCTTCAGATCTGAGAGCCTGGAGTTCCTGCTAGGTGGTGACATGTTTTACTATGTAAAGCCCAGGGCACACCGGAGACAGACGTGCCACGTCATGTCGAACAGAAGTCATTATAGTTAATGAGAGTGGCTACACAGGGAGCGCCATGCTGCGTCCCAGAAGTGCAGCGCTGTGACGCTGAAGATAGGCGCCAGTTCTATTTCAAGCGCCGTAGCGCTGCCACATTGTTGTAAACCCTGTTACCAACATTGAAGGACCTTACAACAGATATTACGATGCAGAACGGCTTTACGACACAAACCCAACTGCCGGTGTTACGTCGATATGTGTTCCCCCCTCGAAATCTGTTTCTTTTGCGCCCAGCTAAGAGTTTGAAGCATCCACTCGCAAAAAATGTGTGTCCTAACCCTTACCCAACCCTTACCCTGACCATAACCCTGAAACAAACATAAAAATTGTGCTAAACATAATATTTTCAAAAGTTATATTTATGTAAAACATACATTTTTGGTGACAGGGTGGTTATGGTTAGGGTAAGGGTTAGGGTGAGGATCATTTTTTGTGACTGGGTTGTTTTCACTTGCAGCTGTGTGCAAAAGAAACAGATCTCGATGGGGGAACACATATCGACGTAACACAATTTTGATAACTTTAAAGTACTACTGATCTTAAAATATTCTAATAAATAGTGTAATTACCATTTTTAATGATTTAAAGTCTCACAAAACACGAAGAAAAGTCTGATCACGTATATAAAAATTGAGTCACTTCCTGCTTTCAAGTCTCACATGATGCTGTGACTATCGCACGACTTTCCGAGAAGCGCTCAGCGGCGCAGCGCGTCCTGTGAGATAATTTAACTTCCCAAAACCATGGCGTGTCACGTCGCGCCTGTCTCCGGTGTGTCTTGGGCTTAAATCATGTTGCTACATAGAACTTTAAATTTTTAGGGTTTAAAATACCTCATAATTAAAGTAGCGTTAGACTGGATATGATTTTTACCTTCACCCTTTCTGATTTGTTTATTTTTACTTCATCTTGATTAAAAGCTGCAACTGCTGTCGTCATGTGAGCAGCTTACATTGCTGCACTGGTAATTTAGTAATTTTTCCTCATAATTCACTAAACAAAATACATCCTCATGATCGTGATTTGCATAAAGATTTGCTTACAGCAGGACGTGTGTGTGTGTGTGTGTGCTTGTCTTTATAGCGTTAATTAGTGGACAATGTTTAACTTTAACCTGTACTGTGTGGACATGTTTACATTGTGGGAACACTTTGCTGGTCGACACAACGCTAAACGCCCTAAAACTTGGTTTTAGAGGTATGCTGTGAATTAACTTTTATTTTAGGTTGGTTTAGTTTAGGGTTAGGAACAGAACCCCATTGGTTAAGGTGGAATCACTAAAATGAATGGAAGTCAATGAAGGTTCACACAAACATATAAATACAAGTGTGTGTGTGTGTGTGTGTGTGTGTGTGTGTGTGTGTGTGTGTGTGTGTGTGTGTGTGTGTGTGTGTGTGTGTGTGTGAACATATCTACTCACATTTCCTATTCCTTTGGTGATGAGGGCCAGCTCAGTGGGCTGGTAGACTGTTGCACGTGTCTGACCGGTGTAACCACTGTACGGAGACACAAGCCTGTTTCCTGTGGCAGAAAATAAAAATAATAATAAACTTTACTATATTAATGCTCTGTGTGACATCTTCAGAAGTCGTTACTCATTTTTCCTTCTATGAATTATCTGAACCGTTTTATCCTCACTGAGGTAAGCTAGTGCCTGTCTCCAGTGATCACTGGGCAAGAGGCAAGGGACACTCTGGACAGGTCTGAAGTTCATCACAGGGACACAGACAAACAACCAGAACAGACTCTCCCACACCTAGAGGCAATTTAGTCTCTAATTAACCTAACATGCATGTTTTTGGTCTGGGAGGAAACCAGAGTATGAGGAAATAACCCACACATGCATGAGGAGAACATGCCAACTCCACACAGTCAGGCTGCAGCTGGGATTTAATCTGCAACCTTCTTAGTTTATCACCTGGATACCATTCTATTCTATGTGTTCTGAAGAAAATACACTGAAGAGATCTCACTTTACAGTTTCCAAAATCAAATTATTTTGCCTCGGATGAAACAGAGTGTGGTGTTTCTGTTGGGAATTAGGGATGCACAGATATGAATTTTTTTGTGCCGATACAGATATTAATGTCACCGTTATGGCCGATAACCGATATTTGCCGATACCGATATACTGACATTAACCCTTTAAGTGCCAAAGTTGCAATATTGCAACAAGCGTCATTGCTGACTTTAACCAAAACTACAAATATGATCCCTCATGAAGTCAATTCAATTCAAGTTTATTTATATAGCGCCAAATCACGACAAGAGTCGTCTCAAGGCACTTCACATAATAAAAATTCCAATTCAGGTCAGTTCATTAAGCCAATCAGAAATAATGTTTCCTATATAAGGAACCCAGCAAATTGCATCAAGTCACTGACTAGTGTCAGTGACTATACAGCAATCCTCATACTAAGCAAGCATAAAGCGACAGTGGAGAGGAAAACTCCCTGTTAACAGGAAGAAACCTCCAGAGAATCCTGGCTCAGTATAAGCAGCCATCCACACGGACAAGTAATGTGTCTACAGTTATATTGTGATGTCTTAGTAAATATTCTATTTGGTGAAAGATAAATTTTATTGTATTTATCCTAGTGGATCTATAATTAAACGGATAAACTATTAGCACATCAAAAGTCAAGGAATCCAAAAAGTTACTACTCTACACCAGAAGATAGTGGAGATGTGTAATCTTCAAGCTGAGCAGCACTTATGGGTGTGTTTATATTGAAAGTGTCGGAGTTTTTGGAATTTGAAAACTGCCTCCCGCCGAGAGGTTCGCGGTCGGGGAGAGGACGAGACGAGTGCAACACAAAGAGGGTGAATATTAGAGGGATAAAACTTACAACCGGCAGGTCTGGTCTTTGTTGATTGATCTCTTTGTCTGGTCATGACGGACTCTGATTATGAAGCAGAATATGACTCTCTGATGAAGAAATTGACTCATCCAGCTAGAAAGATAACGCTGGTGCTGCACGAGAGTAAGGTGTATGGAGTTTACAAGCTCCAAACGTTGGATTTGAAGTTTGTTTCACCGTGTTCAGGACATGGTGGATGTAGAAATGATAGTAAAACGCAGCTAATGTGACAGGCGTAGCAGCAATGTAAAAAAAAGATGAAATATTTTTCTCGTTTACAGTTTACCTCGATCTCTAACCATTTCCAAGCTATAACCTTTTGAAATAGTCATGTCAAAATTGAATATTTTCTTGAAAAAAGCTCTGGCACCCAATGGGTTAATGCTTCTAAAATCATCAGATTTTGTATAGAATGAAAATTATTAAAGTAGAATTTATGTTAAGCACACACAGAACACACATTTACTCTTCTGAGACGATTACAATCACTGTCGCATGACTAAACAAATACACATCACCCCCCTCACCCTCTGAAACTGATAAAACAAATGGAAACAAGATGAGAAAAATATCGGTTGTTAATATTGGCCCAGTTTCATTTATCGGACCCATACTGATATGTTAAAAATGACTAACGTCTGTCTGCCAATACCAATATTGATGCTGATATATTGTGCATCCCTAGTGGGAATACGTGCTCCACACACAAAATGTACTTTGCCAGGAGCCATCATGAGAAGGGCCATTTGTGAGTTTCCGGTTCTGGCAGAGGTGTTTCATGGAAGATGCCCGAGGGGAAGGGTGAGTGTTCCATGACGTGTTTATGCTCAAAATCTAGCTTGTTCTTTAAAGAGCAAGTCACCCCCTACCAGAGTCTAACTCCACTCCCACTTCATGTTTGAAAAATGCAACACATGCTGTTGCCTGGCAGACCGAGAGGGCGGAGCCGCTAACAAATACACACACACTCAGGCTCACGACAGCATTGTGAAATCATGATGTACCAGTTTACATCATAGCATACTTCTTAGCCAATAGCGGTGGCAGATTTAAATTAAAATACAGTGCAGAGTTTTTACCTGACAACGGCACAACACTGCCAGTTTTAGGCAGAATATTTAAATTTTAACTAAGATGCACTGAAATGCCAAATTATTGACGACACGTGTCTGCAGCACGATTAGACACTTGTTTATTTAGTTTATCAGCAAAAAAAAGTTTATTTGGGGGTGACTTGCTCTTTAAATTTGCTATAACAGCTTAAATGTTTAATTCAAGGCCGTTTCTTCTCCTCTAAATATAATTTTTCAATAGTAGGGCTAATCGAAGTGAATTTTCAAACCAAAACACAGAAGTTCTCCAGTAGCGTGGAGAAACATTGTTTAAATCTGGTGGAACTAAAATGAAGTCTTCAGATAAGCTGGCCTTTCCACTGGCTGCATAAGGGACGTGTAACGTGATAGACGCATTTTTCCTGCATGCTCAGCAGCACGTCCTCGGCAGCAACGGGAGTGATTCAGAACCAAGTCAGTAGTGAAAGCGTTCCACGTAGCTGGCCCCTCAACATCGCAAAATCACACGTGATTTCGCCAATCCAGAGGAAAGATGACAGATGTATCCAAAAACGTCTGTTTTATTTTCTGTTCTGCTTACTGTGGCAATGGAGGTTTCATAGATAATGGCATATTTATTTTACAAGTTAAGCAACTGATCTGCACCTCTTATTTTGAACATTTCCGGATGTTTTACACTGCTCTTGTTTGACTTTCTGTCTTGCCCAATTTGAACTTCTGAGCTTGACGCATTCTAGAAGCGCAGTGCTCACTCAAAGAGTAAATTTAGTGCTATGCTTTTGGCGTCAAAACACGGCGCCGTTGGAAATCCTCCCACCGACTATAATGGCTGCTAATTGCTGTGTACTACAGTTACACAGTGCTTATACTAGGGACTGCATGACTTAATTTTTTTAAGGTCAATCGTCAAGCAATGAAAATCGAGTCGACTTCGACTAGTCGCTGATGACGTCATACACGTCGGGGGGGTGGGGTGGGGTGTTGGTTGGGTCGCTGGAGTTTTTGACAATTAAAATCGCACCCACATCTTCTAAGTTAAACATCTCTTTTAACAACAGTAGTTTCTGCTTCAGCCCCCCCCCGCAAACTCACTGATGTGCCTGCAGCCTCTCAGAGTTCCTGCTGCTCTAAACATTAAAATAATTATTTCATTTTCTGTTCCTCACTTCTGATTACCTTCAATGGTGTCTGTTAGTTGCAACCACCAGGTACAAAAACTAACTTGTTTTTATTTGGCTATTTATTATCTTCCTGCATCTCCTCTCAATCCTAAAGACAAACTGCTACCTGGCTTCATATACATTCACCTCATGAGTTACCTTTGAACTGCAGTTCTAAAAGATCTACCGACCGCAAAAACAGCGGAGAGCGCGCCGGCCGCACCGGTGAGGTGCGTCATCAGAGGACAAAACAGGTGATGCACTCCGCTCCACGCATCAGGCACAAATAAAGGGCAGAAAATATAAAAGGAAATGAGCCGATGTCGGTACAAGATCTGCTCGGGTGCAAGATCGGCTCGGGGTCCTTCGACTGCCGATGACGTCAAAGTACGGCAAACCCACTCGGACAAAATACACTACATATCTATACTGTTGGAAAGAATTTAGCAGTTTCGTTATTAAAATAATGTTTTTTAAGACGTAAGTTTGTGTTTATGATGGTATTTGTAAAATAAAACACTATATTGTATTCATAATGTTGAACTCCTCTTTGAGCACATCCCTTGAAGGATCATAGGTATTAGCAACACCTGTGAAATTGTATTTGCAGGAAAGAAGTGTGTCCCGTTTATTGAAGTATTTTGTGTTTAGAGTTTTTGACGTCTTGTCCATGCGTAGTTCAGTTACGCTCATAGCTGCTAGCCAAAACTCTGGAGTTAAAAGTTTTCTGGCTTTACTAAAAAACCTGTCTGTACTTGTTTGACTGATGGTAGTTTTACTTTCCATTACACTCCAAATGTTATCATTTGGCACGTTTCTAATTCATAATTTGTAAGAATGTAATCGGTGATATTAGCATTAGCATTCCTTTGGGTTTTTCCACGTATATTAGCATTGCGCTAACCACTCGCTGCCAAATTGCAGCCTTTGCGATTAGAAAATCTCCTTTTGTCACATCGCAATTTAATTGCACATGTAGTTAATCGTTCAGGCCTAATATACATGCAGCTCTATGCTAAAAGTGTATTTTCAAAGAGGTAATGATGGATTTCTTTGTAAAAGTTGTCCATCTTTCCAACAGAAAAATTTGCCTGGACCAATGTAACGTGATAACAACGTAACGTGATTACGTAATTCCGTAAGGTTCATGTTCAGCCAATCAACTACTTTGACGTCATCGGCAGTCGACGGACCCCGAGCCGATCTTGCACCCGAGCAGATCTTGTACCGACACCGACATGAATGATCGCATGTTAAATTTGTTTTTGAGGTGGCGGCACCTAATTTGAGAATGTCACTGTGGCCGTGCTCAGGACGCAGCTGTCTGGAGCGCGTCAACGATCAGAGCTTTGCATGTGCAAGATGGTTAAGGTTAGGATGGGGGAGAGGGGAAGGTTAAATTGCAAGAAGGTAAAGGTCACAATTCGGTCAAATGTCCGTTTTACCGCGGGCGTCAGATACCGACGCTCTGGCACAGCGCGTCGCCTCCCGACGCGCAGGGGCTCGTCACCTGCTGTCTTTTCCGAGGACTGCATCTTGTCGGTCATTATCACGTGACAGCGACTAGTCTTTGAAAGTCATAAAAAGTCACTACAGAGCAGTGAAGTCGACTAGTTGATACAAGCCCTAGCTTATACACGTCTGTTGGACAGTCGGGGAAGCTCCGCTCCTCCATGATAACTTCTCTTAGATTCTCCAAATTGAGATAACCAATTGCTGTCTACTGAAGGGAAGATACTGCCTGTCCATAACTACTCCACTTAACCCTCGACCTGAGCCAAAATACAAAATATTCAAATTAAATCATCATTTTAAAACAGCTTTTTCAATCTTTTCAGGTTATCTTTGTCTGATACTGAAATTTGCTGAGGCGAGACAAAAGCTGAAACAGAAGAAAATCTGGGTACATACTTTTTCATATAACTGTAATTAATAACAAACAAAACGTTCATTTCCAGTACATTTGCAGCCACTAAACCAGATTTGTGCTATCAGCTGTGATCAGATGCTCTGCTGGCCTGCAGACTGAAGGACTTATTGTCTGATGTGTTTAACTGCAGCGTATCAGATTCTGTGTGGTCATCATGCAGACGGGAAACAACCTTCTCAGGACATTTTCTCTTTGCTTTGATTCTTACTGAGTTCAGCTCATTCTGTGTATTCTGAACAAAAAACCACGATTGTCTGGTGATGGAGGAAATGTGGGTGTGACTGATGTGTCAAAGGTCACGTGTCCCTAAACTCCCTTTGCTTGTCAGCTGGCTCAATGAACAGTGACACTATAAATAACCTGCTCAAAGCATTTCTTTAGATGAAACAGTGAAACCAATGTTGGTCAGATGAAAATGAAGACATTTGCATAAATAAATGTTGCATGTTAGAGAAAGATGGCAGGGTAAGATGTGTTATCATGAGTATTAACACAACTTCATCCAAAATAAAAATGTTTTTCTTTCTTTCTGCTAAGAGTATCTGAACTGTTGACTGTCTCATGTTGATATATTGCACACAATGATGTGTCTTTACTGGCAGACACAATGCTGACAAGTGCTAAGTATAGAAATTAAACTATCTTGTTTCACAAGAAAAACCTGGAAGGTCATCGGGCATGACATTCAACAAAAAATAGCCACACGTTTTTACTTATAACTTTAAACTAGATCTGTTTGTTCTTTTTGCAGACCATTTCAGTGACTTGTTTGGAGTCAGTCATTAGCTGAACAATATTATTGATAACTCAACATAAAGTTCAGCTAGTTTTTATGGATGGTAAATGAACTTTCTCCTGTTAACACAGAGTCTTTAGGTATAATCTGTACTATGGTACTACTGGTACCAATATTTATGGACCAGCACCAACATTAAAACTATCCATTCATGTTGAAGCGATGCTGCAAACGTCACTCTGTGAAAAGAGAAAAGTACCTGACAATATAATCAGAACAACACAAATCATGTGAGTTAGCAATACCTCAGAAATAGATTGTTTTAACCCTCCCACTGTCTTCATGGGTGACCCTGCAAAGAAAGTTGACTGTTGAGCAGGACTGATGGTTTATCCCTTGAGGTTCATGTGGCAGGGGTGAGGAGTGAGCACCACCTCACCCCTGTCATGTGGACCTCAAGGGATAAACCATCAATCCTGCTCAATGGTCAACTTTCCTTGCAGGGTCACCCATGAAGACAGTGGGAGGGTTAAAAGCATTATCATTTATGCATTTAGATGCTGCATAATGATAATAACGCAGTGCTAACGTCAGAGCTAACGTGGAAGAGGAAGGCCTCTTGTTAGCCCCCAGATTATCTGCCATCCCAAGGGATGAAAGGGTAGCTTTCCTGTGCCTTTGGGTCGTCAGGGGAAAGGTCCTGACTGTTATTCATGTTCATGCACCAAATAGCAGCTCAGAGTACCCATCTTTTTTGTTGTCTGTGGGATGAGTGCTAATTGGTGTTCCAAAAGGAGACTCCATAGTCCGGTTGGAGGACATTAACGACAGAGGGACATTGGAAGGAACGACCAACTTGATCCACACCCGACTGGTGTTCTGTTATTGGACTTCTGTTCAAGATATAATTTGACCAAAACAAACACCGTGTTCAAACATAAGGATGCCCAAGGGTACTACCACAGAAGTACAATTAATCAATGACTGTTTCTGACTTTGTATCATCTGACCTATGGCCATTTTGGGTGGTAGTTTTGTACGTTTGAGTGAAGAGATGAATGGAACTGTCAACTGATCACCACCTGATGGTGAGTTGGATTAGATGGCAGGGGAAGATACCACGTAGACCTGGTAGGGTTAAATGTATAGTGAAGTGAAGTTTGTTGGGAATACCTGATGGAACAATATGTCACTATGGTCACTGAGTCCAAGCAGGCCTTGTTCCTCTGCAATTGTTGAGACAGCTGCTGCTAGCTGTGACCATGCGGTTGCTTTTGCTAGTCATGACAATACTGGCTGGTGGACACCAGAGATTCTGGGATCAGTCAGAAGAAGGAGGTCTACATGACATGATTTGTGAATTTCCAGAAGCAGACAGCTACCCGCATCCGGATACATGGTGTTGGTGGAAAAGTACTAAGACCAATATTGCAGTTAGATTTTGGTCAGGTATTTTGTTCTATTTTAAAGAAAATTTAAACTCAGTCTAGTTTAGATCCGGTGTTTAGATGACTATTAACTCCTATCCAATATTTTTCTATAGTAGGCATTAAGACTCTAGTGTTGATCATCAAACACCAAATGTGGAGTCTTCAAATTTCAGAATGGTTGCTAGGATTAGTTTTGCCATGATTGAGATAAAATAAATAATATATAAAAAAATAGATTGAAATGCCTGCCACTCCAGCCAGACATAGATGGGAACTACGGGGGTATTTTTGCATCCAAAACCGACAAAAATCAGAAGGTAATTATTATACATCAGCTACATTTTAGCACAAGATAACTGAGAAATTGAAAAGTTTTATTTTCAAATTTAACACATTTTTAGATGAACTTCTGACTTTGAAAGTCAGAGAATACATCTTCGCAGAAGAATTTTTGATGGGACTACATACCGTAGGTGGGTTCATCCATTGAGAAAGCCTTGTTTTCCATGTACATGTTATGAGAGCTCTGCTCCTTCAGGATGGTCTCATATCCGACTCCTTGGTTTGAGTACGTGTTTTCATCATAATGTTCCTCATCTTCTTCCTCACTGTTCAGGCAGCAGATCTGAGGAATGATATAGGCGACAAGGAACACCCAGGCATTTGCTACCAAGGCAATGGCCAAGGTAGGGTCGTTCCATGTCGGACCCCCTGTTCGCTTATTGCCATACAAATACATGACAATCCACGCCAACCAAATGGCCACGGTGAACAAACTTATCACAAGTATGAGGGCACCTTCTTTTTTCCACTCAGAGAACTTGCCCCCCATGATTGTTAGACTTGCCACAACTACAGCTAGGATCAGGGTCATCACATAGATCAGTGCCATGACAAAGTCTTGGTTAGCAATGTTACAAGGTATCGCTGTGGCTCTGGTTGGCACCGTTGTGGTGTTGAATGATGCTTGTGGGTGAACCAGTGTAATGATCAGCCACTCTGTGTTGATGATCACTTCCACCAGCCACAGCCCCAGCACACCCAGACAGAGGATCCAGCCCTGTGGACCACTGTTATTCCTCACCAGGATGTTCAGCGTCACACACTGCATCAGGAGGCAGGAAAAGCATCCTCCAAACAACACGCCAAAGAGGAACTGCCGTGAGGCGCAGGTGGAATAATCCTCCCCAACAATGAAGGCAAATGTCAGTCCAAAGAGTCCGGTGGTGCAGATTAGGAAGATGCTCTGAACCCCCACTGAGTTCCGATGGTTCGGGTTTTTAACAAAAGGTAGGCTGGCCAGCAGCGAGATGAAGAGAACGAAGGAGAAGATGATACCAGCGGCTGCAAAGGCCTCCACCACAACGCCCCAAACGGTGTCAAGGTCACACAGGTTGTGGTAGAGGGAGCCCACACTGGAGCCGCAGCCCCGAGGCATCACGGTCGTGGCCATAGGCGTGAAATGGGTTGTTGTAGGACAGCACCTATTAGGGTGGACAAATGGGGACAAAGGCATAGTTTGAGAAAGGCAGTCATTAACAGACTCATAATACATCACAAAAAGTCTACACCCAACTAGGTCAATATCACACATGTTTAAATCAACACACATTCATATGTTAAGGTTTCACTTTGAAATCTGGGATAAAAACGTGACAGTTAAACAGGATTATGCCTTGTTAATCTTTAACAGACTGAGATGAAATGTTTTCTAAACATCCAGATTTATTAAACCATAAGCTCAGTGTGTACAGGCTGATGTTAAATTATTCAAAGGTGCAACTTTTATGATCTTTTACAATAAAGCAGGGAGAATGATAGTTTTAAGAGTCCAGCTCTTGTCCTTCTCTTTGTCCGGATCGGATTCAGTTACGCTGAGCAGAGATCAGTCCCACATCGATACTGGACGGCATCCTGCTCTGTCTTGGACTTGTTTGGTTTGTGACTCGAGTGGAACCATTAACGAGTTTCAAGGCGTGACCTCCTTCCACAAATGCAATCAAACGCAGCAGATCTTTCACTAAGCTCAAGGACCCAAACTTTTCATGACATCACTGACATGTTTGAACACTCACGGCTGATTATACAAGGCTAACACTCACAGAAAAAACAAGGCAAATTTTCTGACTGGCAAATGCAAAACGGTTAGACTTTCGAAACATTTAACATATCTCAACTATCAGTGAACTAAAATTCATAAAGATTAGATAAAAAGCCCTCGAGGCTGGTGGATCTTTGGGAAAGAAAGAGGAATCAAAATGTGCTCAAACCTAAAAATAAACACTAAAATTACAAGTAAACACACGCAAAAGGATGCTTCGAGCAAATGTTTAAACAGACTTGAGTTAAACAACCAGATGAAGAAGAATAAATGTTACTTGATTCATAAAGCTCATACATTAAAAAGAACAGTGCATCTTGGGAATAATTTTACTCTTTTACCTGCTAGAAAACACACTATTGTTATAGTATAAATAAATCAGCATAGTGATTGGGATTGGTTGATATTCAGAATGATCACCTCAATCAGCTATTGGCTAATCTGAAGCTCATAAATTTGATTATTTTTCAGCCTGCAAACAACATTTCCACGCAGCAATAACAAAATCGGACTCTTTTCATAGGTGGTAAACTCACCAACACATCAGAAGTATCCCAAAAAGTTCTTAGTCAGTTACGATGTTGCCTACAAAGCTATCATCAATGCATTTCAATTCAGTTTAAGTAAATTATATAGTGCAGATTCACAACTCAAGTCATCTCAAGTCAATTTACAAAGCAAAAATTCCAATTAAACCTACAAAACAGTGCATTGAGTTCAGCTTATTATTCCATTCAGTGGCGGTTTTACCATTGGTCAACGGCCGCCTGGGCCCCCCTTATGTTGGGGCCCCCCTAGCCCTGACTGCTGGCACTCATCTGTTAATGCCACAATGGACTATTCCTTTAAGACGCCAATGCACAAACAGGAAGCGATTGGTAGTCATTCCAGTCCAATCCAGTTGGTGGCGGTATTGCACCAAATTGTTGTTTGCCAAGTGCCAGAAGACCACAAATAAGGAGAAGAAGAGAAAGCAGAAGAAGAAGAAGAAGAAAAAGAAGAAGAAGAAGAAGAAGAAGAAGAAGAAGAGAGGCGGGAGTGTTTGTAACAAACTCAAAGCAGTAGTCAAAACATTAAGCATGAAATGGGAGTTATTCTAGTAAGAGAAAGAAGCAGCTTTCTTTAAAATAACTTTAATCTTCACTTCCTAAAGTGACGTCGTTTTTCAAAGTAAACATCAAAAGGAAGCAGAAAGGAAAGACAATGGAAAATGTTTAAAGGAAGGAAAACATAAGACCAAAATGGAAAATAGAAAAAAGAAAGAAAGGCAAAAGCACAGGAGGACTGACAGGAAGAAAACAGAGCAAATGTCGAAAGCACTCAAAGGGAGAGAAAGAGGAAAAAAAGAGGAGGACTAATAAAAAGGGAAAATAACCAATGTCAGAGAGGGTAGAATTTCGCAAATCCAGTTAAAGATAAGAATGTCAAAAATTTTGTGTAAGGGGGCCCCATGTCTGTGTTTGCCTTGGGCCACCAAATTGCTAAATCCGCCACTGATTCCATTTAGGTGAACATTTTGTATTCTATATAAAGAAACCAGCAGATTGCATCGAGTCATTGACTTGCAGCAAGTCTGTTTATTTCAAAAACCAAAGGCTCCACCACCCTTTTGATTCGTTTAAAGCTGTACCGCTTTCATACGTTTTGAATTGTGGCCGCAAAACAAAAGTCAGTGACTGAATAATTAGACATACATTACAAAGACTCCAAAGTATGAGTCAAGGAAATGATTAATATGGGTACTTATGACAATACATCAAAAACATAAAACATTTGTAGCTGCAGCCGACAGGTAGAAGCATCTTGTTCAAAGGTTTGTGCGTAAATGACACTCCTCTGCTATGACCTTCTGGAGAACACACTGTGATATGATAGATTGTTAAATGATCGATTATTAAACAGAAAAAAGTCCTTTTTAACAACAGCTGTTAGAAGGCTGCCCAGAGAACAAAGAAGGCTGCTCCACTTGTTTAAACTGATTGAAGGTCACATGGAGTGCTATTTAAATAAGCTGGTAAATGTTCTTATGTTAAAATCAATCAACCGTTTATTAATAAACACCTGAAAAATAAAATAACCTGTCGATAATGAAGCTTATTCCAAGTTAGAGTGAAATCTAGATTTTTAAATCAGAACAAATGACCATAAATAAATTATTATGGACTAAACTTTACTCAGAAACACAGCTCTCACCATAAGTCTTCAGATCGCGGTTAAAACTGAGCAAACGTGCAGTTTTTAATCCTTGTTATTCAGAAACGGGAGTAGCTTTCTAGTCAGAGCTGCTCTACAGCTCAAACACGGATCAGCACTTCTAAAAAACCTGGAGAAAACTCACCAACACTTTAAAACCAGGCTGCAGGGTTCTGTAAACAAACGGCGTAAGATGCAGAGGGTGTGGGTGAATCTTACCTGGATGTTTACAGCAGATCTCTCACCTCAGGGCAGATCGTTCAGCCTCACCTGCAACTAACGCGCCGCGCAGGTAGTCATCCGCGAGAAAAACTAGTTCCTCCGGGAGGAGCGGAATAATACACCAAGTTCAAGATAAAACGTCCTGTTCTGAGCAGAAATGAGCAGAGGATAAACTTTAGACAAGACTTTGCACTTACCATCATGGTCGGAATAAATGATCATGTGCACCTATTTGTTTATTTATTATTATCATTTGTCATATAATCCAGTTTAACTGTGACTCTGTGGTTGAGTCTATAAACATGCAGGTGGCTCACTCTGGTTTGTGATTTTCCAAGAAAAGAAAAGAAAAAGCTGTTTTTGCGTTTCATGCATCAAAAGTCACACCAGGTTGGAGCACATGGGGAGAACATAGAGAAACAATTTGTTCTAATACTGACTAATAATAATTTGATCTGGTATAATCTGGTGTATATATATATATATATATATATATATATATATATATATATATATATATATATATATATATATATATATATATATATATATATATATATATATATATATATATATATATATCAAACCATCTGTTATGAACTTCAACCCAAAATCTAATTTGCATATACTGACAAATTTCACGTAAGTTTACTTGACATGTTTGTTTTTATTTGAGGTAAAAGCTGATTCTGGCCTCCAGCCTTTGTCCTAAGGTGGAGTATGAGACAAATAGGTAATTTATATCCATTTACTGTATGTTCCATTTGAAAAGTTCAATAAAGATGTCCAATTTAGATTCATGCTCTTGTTTGGATTATGAAACTAAACCCAGTCATGTAACAGAGCAGGAGCCAAACAAAACCTGACCTCCGAGCAGCAGAACAATGTTAAAGCTGATTTAGTCTCCCGATGAACAAACACATTTAAATGAAACGGAATTTTTTTCTCTAATGCCTTCATAATAAAGGTTTGTTATTGAAGTCTTTATCAAAGGAACACTCGTCACTTTAACCCACTTTATCAGACTGAGGACTTCTGACTGACTTTAGCCACAACCATCTGTGACTTTTATCCATGAGAATAAATTAATATTTCATTATAAAACAATAACGAATTAATCCAGTTTTTTTTTTTGTATTTGTGTAAAAAAATCGTTTGCGGGACAGACTGTTGTGTAATGACATCTAGTGGTAAAAATTAGCTATAATTTTATCTGCAGCCACAGATAAATGTTTTTAGGGGCCTGAGAACGTTACATCATCACAAGTATCTAGTTAAACATGGAAATACAAAAATTTATGTAACAATAAAAAGATGAATGAAAAACAAACAGATAAAGACACGATGGTTCTTTACTTTAAAGACAGAAAGTCTTTCCTTGTGAATGCGCTACACAAATATGCTTTGAATTTAGTTTTTTGCCCATAACTGTCTCTTACCAATGTGTATTAGGGCTTGTTAGTCGATTCTTTACAAACAAACTCATAATAAAATAATTAAACCTTGAACGTCCTGATTGAACCTGTTGACCATGAGGTGTTTCTGCTTCCTGATCTAATTATCTGGAATTGTTTCTTCATTATTTGTAAAGACTAATTTTAAATGATTTTGTTTACATTTAAATGTTTAATATATTTCCCCTTCGATCAGTGAAGCTGCTGCTTTAATTTCCAAATTCACCTACTCAACCTCCATTCGTCAGACCAGCAGGTGGCGCTAACAACGGGCTCAGATCAGATTGAGTTTAAATTCTAACTGAACCAAAAACAGCTCTTAAAATACTCTGTTAAGACACAAAAGGTCTGTTGGAAGATTGTTTTTATGTTTTGACTAGAACATTAAAAACAGAACGTGAGTTTAAAAAAATCTAAATGACCAAAAAAGCAGTATAATCAATCCTCTGTGTGATTAAATAACACTATACTTTTTTCAAATATATAATACATTTAATAAGATGATCTTCATAATATTTTTGTCATCTCATCTGATCTGCGGCCGCATGTCTTGGATACTCAGGTGAAGAAAGGGGCGTAGCTCTCAACTGACCATTACCTGCTGGTGAGTTGGCTTTGATGGTGGGGGAGGATGCCAGTCAGACCTGGCAGACCCAAACATATTGTAAGGGTCTGCTGGGAATGTCTTGCGGACTCTCCTGTCAGAAGAAGATTCAATTCCCACTTCCGACAGAACTTCCTAAATGTTCCCAAGGAGGTGGGGGACAATGAGTCAGAGAGGGCCATATTCCGTTTGTCACAGTGGCCAACCGGACCAGCGGCCGCAGGGTCGTTGGTGCCTGTCATGGTGGCAACCCCCAAAACTTGCTGATGGACACCAGTGGTTAAGGATGCTAGCAAACAGAAGAAAAAGTCCTACTGGTTTTTATTTATTTATTTTTTTTGGCCTGTGAGACTGCAGAGGCAGCAGATGGATACCAGCAGTCCATGCAGAATTTGGCCCAGGTGGTCGCAGAGACAAAATCCGGGTGTGGGGAGAGTTCAGTGAGGCCATGAGCATGACTTCTGTATGGCTTAGAGGAGATTCTGGTCCACCATTTGATGCCTCATAAAGCAGTGCGCTACCAACACGGTGTGCTGCTGACCTCTACTCGAGACATTGTGGATCGGTGTGTGCAGAATACTTTGAAGACCTCCTCAATCCCACCGGCACGTCTTCCAGTGAGGAAACAGAGTCTGGGGACTTTGGGTTGGGGCTCTCCAGTCTCTGGTGCTGAGGTCACTGAGGTGGTCAAAAACTCCTCAGTGGCAAGGCTCCAGGGGTGGATGAGATCTGCCTGGAGTTCCTTAAGACACTGGATGTTGTGGGGTTGCGTTGGCTGACACGGCTCTGCAATATCGTGTGGACATCAGGGGCAGTCCCACTGGACTGGCAGACCCGGGTGGTGGTCCCCTTATTTAAAAAGGGGGACCACAGGGTGTGTTACAACTACAGGGGGATCACACTCCTGAGCCTCCCTGATAAGGTCTATTCAGAGGTTCTGGAAAGGTGGGTCTGTCGGATTGTCGAACCTTGGATTCAGGAGGAGCAATGTGGTGTTCGTCCTGGCTGTGGAACATTGGACCAGCTCTATAACCTTAGGGGGATCCTGGAGGGTGCGTGGGAATTTGTCCAACCAATCTACATGTGTTTTATGGATTTGGAGAAGGTGTTTGACCTCGTCCCTCGGGGGGGGGGGGGGGCTGTGGGGGGTACTCCTCGCGTATAGGGTACCAGGCCCTCTGATATGGGCTGTTAGGTCCCTGCATGATCTGTGTCAGAGCTCGGTCCGCATTGCCGGCAGTAAGTCGGGCTTGTTCCTGGTGAGAGTTGGACTCCACCAAGGCTTCCCTTTGTCACAGATTCTGTTCATAACCTTTATGAACAGAATTTCAAGGGACAGCCAAGGTGTTAGGGGTTCTGTTTTGGTGGCCTGATGATCAGGTCTCTGCTTTTTGCAGATGATGTGGTCCTGTTGGCTTCACCAGAACATGATCTCTGGCTCTCACTGGCGCGATTTGCAGCCGAGTGTGAATCAGCTCCTCCAAATCCGAGACCATGGTCCTGAGTCGGGAAAGGGTAGAATCCTTTCAGGGATGAGGTCCTGCCTCAAGTGGAGGAGTTTACGTCACTTGGGGTCTTATTCACGGGTGAGGGAAAAAAGGAACGTGGCTGTGGAGAGGAAATTCTGGCCCTTCCTGCTTAGGCTACCGCCCCCATGACCCGACCCCTGATAAGTGGCCAAAAATGGATGGATGGATGGAATATTTCAGAGATTATTAGTTAAAACATCTTTTGCATGTTGTCCAGAGATGACCAAGTGTTTAGTTAGATGTTTAATCTGATAATGAGTAGCTTTTAAAACCAGCCTTTATGTGCAGCAGTGTTTCGGTCAATTATTAAAGGATTTGTCCACACACACTCACACTTGTTGCTCAAGAGCTGATTGCTGCTGCTTCATTTGTCTCGGCTGCTTTGAACCTTCAGCCTCTCCTCTCAGCACCTCCATCTGCTCCTCGCTGACAGGAAGTCATGCTTTCAGCTTTCCGTCCTCTGTGATTTAGTCCTCCAGCTGGCCTCGAGCCTGTTATCTGGGTTTCTCTCATCCCTTCCATCAGTTGATTGTCTGTTTCCAGATTTACATCAGACTGTCTCATTCTTCAGCTCATCTTTAAAGCTGCTTCCACCGATCAGTCCTGCTTGATCCAAACCTCCAGAGACACATTAAAGGTGAAGCATTTCTCATCCTCAACACACAGCTGTATTTGAAACGGAGCTGGTCCATCATCAGACAAACTCTACATGCATTGACCCATAAACATCCTGATTTAAACTGGTTTAAAACGTTTTGAACATGAAAGCAGCAGGAATAAAACAGCTGGGTGAGATGAACAAACAAACTGGACCTAATTATTTAAAAAAGGACTTCAGAACAACGTGACTCACCGTGTGTGCTGTACAGAAAATATTAATGCAGTATCAAGTTAAACTGTTTAAATCTGAATAATTGACAGGATATCAGACTGCAAAAGGACGTATTGAAGAGAGACATTTGTGAACAACAGAGCAAAAACAAAAAGATTTTTAGGAACTAGCAGGGCTGTTTCAAGGCATTTGAGGGTCCAAGGAAATATGGACCCCCACCCACCTTAAGTGCTCAAAGGAATATAATGTTATGGTAATGTACATTTGTATATTTTCAAAAAACTCAGCATCATCCAATAAAAAGACAAAGATTAAAAAGCTTACGCAGTTTGTCCTTCTATTCATTTCATAAGCTGCCATTGTCTGGTGGCCGTTGATCGGCTTGGACCCCCAGAAAATTACGTTATTTTCCTGCCTGTTGCAACAGGCCTACCAATGAGCCAGAAATGCGTCCAGCTTAATGTTGTCGGGTTTGTTTAATTTGAATACAAGAAAAGA